AAAAGGTTGACGGATGGTAAGGACAAAAATGATGCCAAACCATGCAAATATTTTGTCGGTATTTTTCCGGAACACCCACCGGAAAATCTTTATGGAGAAAAAAATACGATGGAAAAAGTTTCCGACGCGTAATTTACCGTCACATGAATTTACGTCTGAAGTCCGCCGGAAACCTATATTTTTTGGCGCATTTTGGTCTTTACTAGCGGATTAAGGCCTCCGGTAAAAGCTGGTTTTCCTGTAGTGAAAATGCAAACATTTATAATATTTATTGATACATCATTAAAAAAATCGCTTGATCGAACATGAATCTCGATCTTAGCAAACTTATAGTCGAACAAAAAGTCTTGATGAGATGACCCAAATGACACAAAAATGATTCAATTTAAGCCTGAATAAGCCCGTAATTGGAAAACTTCATCATATACATTAATTGGATGACCAAATGATTTCCATATTTGGCATGCTTATAGTTGAATCGAGCGGATCGATGAGACTCTTGATTCCTAAGTATTAAAGCAAATAAATTCTAAATGAATGATTTATGATCAAAGGATAGATGACCTATCTGATGGAGTGTTCTTGATCTTTTCCATGTTTATTTGCATGCCGCTCTCAAAATTTTATACATAACCCCCTCTCTACATTGAGAAGAAAGAGGACGATCTGAGACGACAGTTATGAACTTTGGCTTGAGATTTAAGAGAGTTCTGAGGCTTTAAGGATCATAGAGCACCATCCAAACACCACTGCAAGGCCATCGCCTAACTGTTGCATCGCCCTCCATTTTGAGATGATTATGATCCTCTTGAAATTTGTTGTTCGCTGACTACAATCCTTCAACCACCATCAATTAGTAACTATGGTCCTCAAACCATTATCGCCCATCAACCATAGTTCTCGGACCACTGTTTCTTGATTATGTTCCTCTTACCACCTTCCAACCTCTGTTGCTCCCTAATTGTTGTCCTCATACCACCTTCGATTATAGTCCTTAGATCTCCATTGACTGCCAACTACAATCATCTAACATTCATTGCCCACCAATTATGGTCTTTGAACCACCATCACCCAACTAAAGTTCTTAAACAATCATCATGCAACTACGATCTTCTGAACACCATTGCTCTACTATGGTCCCCCCAAACTTCATCCCCTATAGACTATGGTTCTCCATCCAACTTCGCCTAACTATGTTCCTTCAAACCTAGCTTTGTCGCCCACCAACTTAAATCCTCTAACCTAGGTCACCTACTGACTATGGTCATCCAACCTTCATCGTTCTATTATAGCCCTTCCGACATCCATTACCCACTGACTATGATTGTCCAACCTCCATCGTCTATCGACTATAGTTCTTCGACCTTGGCTGACTATGATCTTCAAATCATTGTCACCCAACTACAATCCTTTTGATCTCCAACACCCACCAATTATAGTCATTCAACCTTTCTTGCTTACCAACTATTTTTCTCTGACCTATAATCTTTTGGCCATTATCACTTAGCTACTCCAACGCCTATTGGTTTCATCATCTACCATCACTACTAATGCCAACACATCCATCACTCACATCGTCGACATCGACTATGACTCTCAACATCATTTATGCTAGATTCTCATCAAAGGGCTCTTCCAACTTTAACCATATAATATGTTATTTGCATTGTATCAATAGCTTCCCTCCAAGAAAAAGTATCATTTGTAATCAATAACAAATACCAGTGAAATCATTTTAACTAGGATTAACCTCATGATTTTTCCCTTTCTTAGATTTTCTACATAAAAAATGTGGTCTCTTATGATTCTTGCACTACTCTTTATTTGTGTGTGTGTGTGTGTATGTTTAATCATTTTATAAAATTAGGATGTTATACTCTCTATCTTTTTATTGTCGTAAATGTTTCACCACACACACACACACACACACACACACACACACACACATATATATATATATATATAAATGAGAAGGATGTTAAATAAACTAATATGTAATTTTACATATTACATGGGCTTGTATTAAAATTAAAAACCAAAAATAAAAATTAATTAAATTACAGTTCATTTTTTACATGTGAAAAAATGAGACATATAAAGAAATAGTTAGATAAATACGTGAATTTATTAACTAAGATATAATAATAACTAGGAATTACATACATAACATTCAGATCTTACTCATTTATAAAACTAATAATAAAAATAATTTTAACTTTGCAACGGATATATTCTTACTGGATCAAATAAATTTACAAATAAATTAAAAATCAATCATTTTCAATATCAAAGAACCTGCAAGTTGGGCATTGTCCTCAACCCAAAGGAATGCTCACACTGAAGCAACAAATGGATTGAAGCAATCCCTCAAACATAAAGCCTTAGCATAGCAGCTAAGTCACTACAAAATATTTAATTCCCTCTCGCGTCTACCACCTTAATTTACAAACTATAAATACATCTATAAATCTACAAAATCTTTCACACCTCCACCGCTCCTCTCTCATATTTCTTTCTATACATAGTTTCAACGTTCAGTTAGTTCAAAATCAGCAAAAGTATGGAAGTAGTTGGCAACTCTCATCTTTCCCCTCCACCATATCCTTATCTCTCCCCTCCACCATTTCCTTCCAAAGGCTCTCCACCTACCTCCAAACCTCCACCAAGCCACCATTTCTCCCCACGTCCTCCACAACAACCTTCGCCACCGCCGCCTCCACCGCCACGCAAGCTGAATCCACCACCACCACCACCGCTAACTCCAAAACTCGCACCGCCGCCTCCTCCACTCACTCCACAACCCACCCCACCACTGCCACCACAGCCTGCTCCACCAAGCCCTCCTCAGACTGTTATTATCATAGTGTTCGTTTCACTCGGGGGTCTCTTCTTCCTTGCTTTCCTAGCGACCGCGCTCTTCTGCTTGATGAAGAAGAAGAAAAAGAAGATGGTTAATGAGAAAGAGGCTGTTGATGTGGAGGACCACATTCATGTCCATGAGACTATAGTTCAAGGGCCTCATGGTGAACAGGTGATTAATTTATATGTGGACGAAGATATTAGGGCACAAGAAGTGAGTAAGAAGGATGAGCTTGTAGTCGCAGGCTCTCATATTCCCAGAATTGTGAAAGAGGGAGGGCCAGGCACTTCTTCTAGTGTCAATAAGAAGACCTAAAGAATTTAAATATTTGTCAATAAGAAAACTTCGTGTTATCAATCATTTGTTTGCAACATGACAGGATATTATAATAAGCAAACTTATCACTGTATTTTTTTTAGAAATACCTCATAGTAGTTTGGAGCTTCTCAACGTCCGTATATTATACAGAAAAATAATTGTTTTCTGATGAAAAACAGCTCGATTCAGTCATAAATCGTATTTTCTGACAAATTTACAACGAATTTATGCCCGCCGGAAAAAAACTCTTGTTGGAAGCTCCTTTCAACAAACGAAAAACTTTTAAACTATTCTAAGAAGTCATAA